GGCTACCAGAAAACAGCAAGCAAAATATTTTCTTTATATATATTCTTGTTACTTTAGTTATGAGAATCAATTTTTCAGCCCCGAATTTTTGGAGAATCCCGTACCCCCTACGGCAAAATTGTATCCATATGGATACACCCGGCTGGAAAGGGTTAACCATGATGGGGAAATTTTTTTTTTATTTGTAAGAAATTGTGAAACAGACGGTTGAGAATTTGATGAGGCAGAATCGGAAGAAGAACTTTGTTTGGCCATTTCAACGATTTCCTTTTTTCGAGAAGAACATTGTTCCAAATGTTTATTACAGGATGTAAGACCGTGATTTTTTCTTTTTCCTTTATCATTGACCTTCGAATGAGTACGAAATGCAGCACAACAATATCGACAAACAGCCCATCCTACTAATGGTGTATCTGAATCTTTAGCATCTGCAATAAGACGAAGATCGGACCACGTCGATGTTCGATCTTTGGTATTGATAACCATTAACAATTCGCCACTTTTCAACTTCTCTTTCACCAAAACATCATCCAGTAAATCGGGATTCATATTGTTCACTATTGAATACAACCGACCAAAAACAAAGAAATATTGAATTGTTTATAAAGATAACGAATATGTTCAAAATGTTTTGTATAATTCGTTTTTGTAGAGTCCCAACAAAATTTCATTATAGAACCTCTATAGAGTTAAAACCAGGACCAATCACAATGCCAAACGTGTCTGCATAATAAAAGTCGGAGAATGGAAAATTTAGACCGGTGAAGAAACCGGTAGGCCGGCAGACCGGTAAAAAACCGGTAGACCGGCAGACCGGTAAAAAACCGGTAAACATACCGGTCTAAACTCTAGACCGGTACCGGACCGGACCGGCCGGTTGCCGGTACCGGTTCCATCTATGATCTACAGTACCTTAGAAAAATTATGGACACTATGCGACAGTCTTATAAATCTCACTTTTTAACTGATTTTCAAAAATAATATCTAGTCGTTCGTCGACCTCCATTCGGTCGGCCGTTCACGGCTAGCTGTTTCCATGTGCACTCATTTTACTATCTTAACTTCATTCGGACGAAGATGCGTTCCGAAAATGAGCTCATTCCGGAAAATTAATTCATAATCAAAAACTTAGAAAGTTCACATAGCTATATGATTCTGTGGAAAAGGTTTCAATCTTCTCTCCACCACGAGAAACCTTAAATAGCTGCTAGCTATGTTCATGCAGAGTAACGATACACTTCTGTCCAAGAAATCTTAAAGCTCTACATAAATCACAAAATTTGTTCTTCAAAATATTATTCTGCAAATCGACGACCACTCGCGGCTAGCCGTTACATGTACATTTTCACTCTTCCATTTAGTCTAGAACCACTTTTGTAACTAATCCATTCATTCTCTTCTATTCCTTCTTTAAAAGTCACCCTCTTTGTGCTACTGTGACTCTTGAAGACAACGCTTGACGAGCGAAACATTATTTTGAATAACTGGCATCAGATGATATTCGTATAGTATAGCTGTTTATAAAAGTGTGTGATCTCATCAATATGCTGATGACTATGGAGATCCAGCAATCGGACGTCAGTCAGTTATCACGTTTTGTTCTACATATTGCCGCTTGAAACACTATCGTCTAAAAAAATTGATCCTTTGCCACAAAAAGACGGGTCAGAAAGTGTTCGTGAAAAAACTAACACCGGATTCGAGATCCTCGACCTTGATTACCTTTCGGTCAACCCTTACTATTATCAACTACCGCTAGACAATATTGAAAGAAAAATGAATGAACGGACGAACGAACATCGCCTGGTTTTTCGGTGATACCATCTCGATGCACTACCCTCCTTTCAATAGAGGCAATTAATGGAACTGTTCGAGAAATGGTTGGCCGTGTGTTTGTCGATCATTGGTTTATTGTTCCTTCTTACGAAGAATATTATCAACAATGTAATCCAAAATTGTGTAAGTATTTATTTTGTTATTGAAAAATTTAATGCATTTCGTTTCTATATCGCTATTTTAAGTTTATATGAAGCCTTGGTCACTACTTTAAAATTAATTATTCCATTGATTATCAAAATTATCTTTCGACCTTTTTTTGTAAATGAAGAAAAGCATTAATGAATGCCCACCTTTAACATTTGTCGAATTAAAAGTACATTCTTATATATATGATTTTAGATATTGAAATCATAAGGAAATAAACTAAATATAAGTTAAATGAATTCAAATCAGAGCTGTTGGTCTGGCTTGCTGCATGCTAGGAGAATAATTTTCTTTTTCTTACAGTGATACGGAATCATAAGATGTTAGGTTTATATTTGTTTGATACAGAAAAAAAATGCAATCGCTTGTTTTAGTCTGAATATAGAAAGTTTGTTTTTTTTAAATAATTTTAGGCAACACCTCCAGTAGTAAATGCCAATTGAACGTTATTTTTTCTCAATTTCTTCTGTTTCATGTATGTCGTTTGATGACATTTAGACTAAATCTATATAGTCAAAGATAAACGAGTTATTATTGTTGTGAGATGAAAATAAATTATATGATTAGATTTGACCATATATATCGATCTGGAGTTTTCAAATATTTTTATTACTTATTTTAACATAAATTATATACATGCTAACATTCACCTTTTCAATCAATTAGTTTATTGAAATTTTTTGTTTCAAAAAGAAAAAATATTTCTGTCTTGCGCACTCAAATTCAAATCATTTAATTTTGTGTAATAACTAATTGTTCTGTATTTTTTATCAAACTATCCATCAATTCATCATGTGTTGCTAATTCCTGACTTGCATAGTATTGTGTTGTACTAGCAAAGATAAAAACTCTAATAAGAGCAGCAAAACGTAAAACTGCTTCCATATAACCATATCGATAGATCATATATTTAAACAATATATCAACATATATATTTTGAATGTGTAATAAATAATTTGAATTTGAAAACGATCGAAATTTTTGCATAGAATCATTATTACCTAAATTAAATGAACGAATTACCAAACAATATCATATCTCAAAACGTGATAAATCATTACGCTTACTGATATTATGTTCAGTGATGATAGTTGTATTTGTTGAAAACATAAGTACTATTCCAATTAATTTAAGTAATGTTCCATCTGTATCTATTAATTGTTTAGTTTTTGTCGCCCTTTCCGCAACAATAGGTCCATACAGAGAAGGAAAATCTATATTGAATAATGGACTTGAATAAACACCTGCATCTCGAAATATAAGTGTTCCAATGAGAATACTTGTATTTGGAACATTTCTTTCCAATAGTGCACTTTGATCGTGTGAGGACATTTGACGAAAATCTAGTATATTGTCTACAAGAGGCACTACGGCTCCATACATTAGTTCCATGACTTGTTTAATATTAGCCGCAGCGCTTTTGATTCGTATTTTTACTGGATAGTTAGATATAGCATCTACGACATTACGAATAACAGGAATTGGACTTCGAGAATCAAATATATTTATAACATTTGATAAAGTTGACCATTCATCAGTACTTAATGAAGATCGATCATTAACAAGTAAAAATGGTAGATGAATATAAAGTGAAGATGGATTACTTGTATTCCAATCTAGTGCATCAATTGAATTATTTTGTTCATTAATTGACCGACCTTCTATTTTCATTAGAGAGGTTTGAGAGCGAGAAATATGTTTGATTTTTTCTTGCATTCCAATAGCAAAACAACGCTCAAGTCTACAAAATCGACATATTTGTCGAGTGGTAGTTGTTATATCACATTTAGTACCAAATACACATTTGCGTCCTTTCTAAACATCAAAATCTCTTTCTAATTATATTCAATAAATTGATTTACTTACAAAATTCACTCGACTATTTCGTCGAAAGAACGCTGCGCATGAACTACAACACAATGATCCATAATGTACTTGTGCATTCGTATCTCCACAAACTCGACATTCAAAACATATTTTAACTGTCTTTGATGATAAACGAATACTTTGGTTGCATAATTGCATTTCAGTATCATTGTTCATTAAAAATTCTAAAATCCAAACAGGAAAACAAATATTTTATAGAGTCGAACTATCTAAAGATTGAAATTGTATTTTGATATCAATGAAAATAAATCACGATCTATCATGGAAGTCTACACGAAACTGTATCTAACACTTCAGTAAATATCGTATGAACACATATTTCTTTTTTTCCGACCCATAGTCTACGCGATATGGAAACTACCTGAATGAAATTTCACCGTCTATACTATTTCTTAACGTTTCTAAACGCGTATATACTTTTTCCTAAACATAAGGAAAGCGTTCTGGGAAGTATAGTCACGTTAGCTAATAATAATAAATGTGATGACTTTGGATTTCAGCTGGAAATGATGTGTACTACAAAAAGTGCGTCGCAGAAATCACTCATTCAGAAGATATTATTTTCAGTATGAAAATTATCACGAGAAATCTTTTCGATGAACCTACGCGCTTGTATGTGTTGCAATTACATTTGTGAGAAATTTCATCTATAATATAGGAAACATGGTAGGCCATCGAAGGTAATCGACATTAGTTCAGAATCTTGAAGATTGAAAGCTTTGTATGTGTGCCAACGATAGAGGATATAAAGAGGGTTGTACGTCATAAACATCTTATACTGTATAGAAATCGACGTCTAGTGGTTATCTAACAGTTATTAACAATACAAAAACGAACAACGCAATAGAACTGCAGTGTAGAAAATGAGTATAGTATAACAAAACCCTTCAAAAGGTTTTTTTTTAACTTCATAAACATTCTCATATGCCATAAGGCATATATAAAAGTGCAACATATAGTATACGCCTTCTAGGATTGATAAAGATAAAGGGTTTATGAAAGGATATATCATTTAAAAAGAGTATATGAGAGTGTTTATGAAGTTAGAAAACCCTTTTTAAGGGTTTTGTTATTCTGCACTCATTTTTTTAAAGTATAGCTCACTAATAGCTTTTCTTTGTCGACGAAGAATCCAATCAACAACAGCGCATAGAGGGCACTACGGATCAATAAAAAATATTTTTGGTATTTTCAATTCCGCTAGACAAATTAATGTCGTCATCATAATCGTAAGTGATTAGAAAACTTTTTCGTGACTGTGACCGTGAACGAAGTTGTCTATCACGAGCGACACTACCATCTATACTGAAAAAAATCCACATAATAATCAACCCTTACCCTAAAGAAATTTGTCAATAAACCTTTCAAGAGTATATATCTATGTTACCAACATGAGAGTATGTTGTTCAACCAAATCTGATAGATTATCATACGCATCTCAAGCAAGAATATCTTATCATTCTCTTTTGTATTTATCATGCTACCTTCTAGTTAGATGCGTACATCCTTTTACTTTCCATGATACACTATTCTACCGACAAGGTTAGATTTGTGTACGCTCTCCATCAAGATTACTTGTGTATAATATCACTGGAGAGGGTTTATCCGTGTTTACTTTCATTGCAGAAAGTCTATCATTCATAGTTAGACATAAATAAGATTATCTGCTTTTTCAAACCATTCTTTAGTTTTTATTTAACATTCAAACAGGGTATTTACCATGATCGTTTATTTACATTTCTCATAAAGATTCGAGATAAAACGAAGTGCCATCCCCATCTATTGATTTGCTTTGTGATTAGGTTAAACGCACATCAGTAGTCACGGCTTAATGAAATGAAGTAGAAGAGAAGAGAAAGTTTCGGTGGTCTTTTTTCTCTAGTACTGCTGTTTTGCAAATTTTTAGATAACTGACCGGTATCGAATCCTTATCAACATCATATCGTTTCCGTCTTTGTGTGTTTATCATTGATAAATGGATTGGACTTGTGAACAGTGTACGAACAGACACGTCTATCTCGATATTATATCTTATACGCTATCATTTGGAAATGTTAATTATGACATAGCGTCCTTGCGTAATGTTCTTTCCTTGCTGATTTTCGCATTATGAATATTACCTTCTACTGTCACTATTTGTTCTCTTCTCTTTCTGTTCTGTAGAAAAGGTTGAACGTTGAATAAATGATTATTAGCCAAATAAGAATGTATTTTTACACTTATCTTTTACTTTTCGAACGATTTGTATATAGGACCGAACTTTGTAGAAAGAATATTTCATGATCAATATAAACAAAAGAACGAGACAAAGCATGCATACATCATGAATATCTAGTACTAACATGTTTGTCTAGCATCACCTGATAAAAAGACAAAAAGATGTTCTGAGTGCACCTTTTTACAATAAATGCCTTCGGACATATATATGCGTCGCCGGGATTCATAGGGTTAAAGATTGATGTATAAGATGAAAAATTTCAAGAACAAATCAATAAACCAGAAACGTCTTCAAGTAGTTTTTTCTCATTTCATTTTTTTATGATAATTTAGGAAATAGAGCCAGACAAAGATTTCATGCAGCTTGATTCTCAAAAGAATTTCTATTTATTTTCTTCTATTTAAAAATGAAAAAGAGCGTGTTAATTCAGATGTTCATATTAAACAAACTCAAGAAAAATTAATTAGAATTCAAGATAAAATTGGTTCACTTCAACAAGTCACCTTCTTCTTTTTCCTTTGTTTTGAATCTTTTCGTCTTTCAGGACTTTCTTGCATATAGAAATTATAAAGAATCACTATTGAAAAATCAAAAATAACTAAATAAATATTTACAATTATTAATAACTAGTAACATTTAGTAAATGATTTTTTCTGCTCTTTACATTTAAATTACTTTGGAAACAATATCTTATCATTCTATAACCAGTATTCAATATATATTCTTAATTTTTCTTCGACTATAATCGCATAGTAGTATGACATCCATTAACATTTTCAGTCTTAAATATTTCTCTTATATTTATTCAGATATATGAAAATAGAATGTGTTTCTTAAGATTATTGTGCTATATAATATCCCAAAGACATCATGAGAAAATAAAATGATAAAAGAGTTTTAAAATTAATTACTTTATATTGATTATCAATATTTACCGAAACAGATCTTTAGAACAGAAGTCATGTAACAATTCTCAATCACTTTCCATCCGATCTTGATAGAAAACTATGGAACTATTAAGATTCAAATTTCGAACATTATTCGGAACCGTAAAACCCATAGGAAACTTCCGTATCCGAAATCCATCTTCCAATCGTGTACTATCTGAAGCTTCCAAATTTTTTGTCATTATTAATTTTGCGACAAAATAATTCATTATTACTCCTGAAAAAAATGCAAACGTTCTATTTCTGTATTTTTGAGCCGATTATTAATCTGATTTCAATCCTCTCAAAAATTCATTGAAAAATTAATTTCTTATAAAACAGGTGACATCAAAAGTATAAATCGCCATAAAGTTGGATTTTAATTCTGTGTCATTCTGACGATGCAATTTTCATTTTTTAAAGTGTATCACATAGTTTGGTCGAAATTTGATGGATTCTACAAGTACTGATGGGTTATGCTGAGAAGAAGTAAGATACATATGTACGATTCCGGATGTTTATATTTTTTTAAAGCGATCATAATTGCCGGAATATCATGGAAAAGTCTGAAATAATTCGGAAGTGTTCGGAGAGTTTATTCTGTTTTCGTCTCCTTCTTTCTTATCAGTTCTAGGAAGGATACGAGGAATTATATCGTGTGTGTTTTTTGTAGGTTTTTCTCAAATTGATACTACAAATCGGGTTTTGAAGAAGAGCAGTGCCTGATTTGTTTGAAACTTTCGCGAAATCGAATCCAGTGAAATCTGGTCTGGAACACTTCTTTCACATTCCGGCCGTTTTTCTGTGGGGATCATTGGTGGTGAATATGAGAAGGGGATGCTTTCCGTTCGGATCTGTAGACTGGAAACATTGTCCTAGAAAATTTAAGATTATTCAATTTGTTTTCTTTATTTTGCAAATCAGATTCATAATATCTTTAGTTTTATTTTGTTAATCGATAAGCTACTGAAAACCTTCAAGTATTTAATAAGAAAACAACTCAATGATTGAAGTTCAAAAGATGATTTTATTTTTAGAAGTTCTTACAACTTGAAGAACAGGATATTTTAATATAAAATATTCTATTTAAACTTGGATTTTTCACATATTTTCATTTGTGGAAACTGCGTTTGATTTAGTAGTACAAGAAGGAAACAGATGAAAAGGATTGAACTCTGAGTTCTTTATTATGGTGTAAATATGTTTTCCTAACATCACGGATATTTGAATATTTTCTCATTAAAGAAAGTTTTATCAAAAAAATTATTTCTATAAATAAGCCATTTTTTCTTGTATAAATTATTATCATTAATTTTTTTCTTATGAAGCGAATATCCCGGCTTTTTTCATTTAGTTTCATTTCGCAATTAATAGATAGAACATACTTTACTCTATAAAATTTCTTTAACTTTGTTTTTTGAGAATAAAAAGGAATGAAATTTATATGAAAAATAAAACATTTTTTTTACTCTAGTATTAAAAATCCTATATATATAATTCTAAATAGAAATAATTACTTTCGATTTTATTTTTTGATTTATCAATCATATATAATTAGAAGAAAAATATCAATAATGATAATAATTTTTACGATTAAATTTTGGCTTTATGTAATATTTATAATTCCATCAATTTTATGTAGTTTATTTAATTTGTATTATTTTCTTTTTCATCGAACATTTCGTCAATGTCTTAATAATCATGTTGTCATTATTATTCTATCATTTGGTCTTTTTTATATGTTAACAGATATTATTTGGTTTATCCACTACTATCGTACCCATTCAGCATTAATATCGACACCTATGTTTTGTTTTTTGTGGGTCTACATAGATTTTTCTACATCTATTTCCATGACATTTTTAACGGTATGGGCATCAATTGAACGACATCTTCTTATTTTTCATCAACATTTATATTCAACATTAATAAAACGTTTTCTTTTTCATTATTTTCCATTGATTATTTTTAGTATTTATCCATTTATTTTCTATTTTATTGTATTTTACATATTACCATGTGATATTTTGTTAAATTATAATGAAGTAGTGTGCACATTGAGTTATTGTACATCGATCCATGGAACGTTAAGTATATGGGATAGTTTAGTAAATAACATTATACCAACGTTTACGATGATGATCTTTAGCATTAGTTTGATTATTCGTGTATGGTATAGAAAATATCGAATGGGTAGACGATTTCAATGGAGAAATTATAAAAAGATGCTATTTCAATTATTATCAATTTCTTTTCTTTATTATCTTTTCAATTTACCAGCATTATTATTATATACAGCTTATACATTTGGGGTATCCTATGATGTTGGTAGTGAAGTTTATTCAGCATATATTTATATATATTATTTCATTATTTTATTTACTCCTTTTTTATCAATTATTTCATTACCTGAACTTCGAAATAAGTTGCGAAAGGTGATTGGATTTTGTCGAAGAGAACGAAATATAATTGTCCCTGACACAGTTGGAAAGAATCGCTTGAAGAATCGGCAAACCGTTGGGAAAAGGGAAATTGTACAATAACCGTTATTCATTTACAAAATAAACAATTGACTGAGATTGATATATTGAGCATTTCTCATCAGTATTGCATTTATTTTGTTGTTATTTGTCTTATTTATTCATAAATTATTGCTTTGACTATTTGATTTTCTAGTTTTTTCTATTTCTAGGGACATTTAATATATAAATTATTTATTAATATATTTCACAAGCTGTGAGATTATAGTCTGTAAAGCATAGTTGGCAGTCAAATGGAAAAGCGATTCATTTTTTGCACGTCATTTAATATTATCGAATAGTCGAATCGTATTAGTAGAAATAGATAATGGAAATGTAAAAGAAAATGACATTGCGTATTCATAGTGAATAATTCAATATTTATTCTCAAGGTCAAAGATGATCAATGAAAATAAATAGAATATCGTCTTGCATTCGACTTACGAGGGAACCTCAGCAACAGATACCCTACATTTGAGCTCATATTTTGATCATCGATAGGGTTCATAGTATAGATGAAAACCCTAGAAGGAATCATCCCCATACTGTCTTTTTGGAGAGAAAACTGGCGAAACAAATTACTATAAAAATGACATAAGTATCTTTTTTGTTTAATTGTTTTTTGACATCTCGAGAAAAGAATGCTTTTTGCGGGCTTTTTTCAATTGGTATTATTTGCCGTCATTTTCATACTCTCTCGTATGTTCTCTTCACTCTACTATGGCCCACTAAAATTCATTCGTCTCCTGTATTCTTATATATACATATCTGCTGCTTCAAATAGCAAACATTTCATATAAGTGATAGAATAACATTTCTTTCTGACTAACAACGAATTGTTATTTAACTACCATCATAAAGTGAACAGATAGGAAGTATATTTTTATTTTATCAGAATTTGTATTCATCAAAAATACACATGATTCATTTTCACAACGTGTTAAAGGTACTCTTTAAATTATCGTCGAATAAAATATCCCGTAATTCACCGTCACCGATCAATAATGATGAACATGTAGAGCAAACGAAAAAGAAAATGGCAAACTGTAAAACATCGTTTTCAACGTGTACCAAATCCAAAATGCATTGCTCGCTTCCGTAAATACATAGAAGCAGGTGATACAAAAAAATCAAAAGTTTGACGATGTCGATATCTATGTTTATGATCGATTCCAACATGCCCGACATAATTTTTTATCGGTCCATGATGTTGACTTCCGAAGATGGAGCCTCAAAAATGCTCACCAATTACATTTAAAGGGTCTTCAAGCTAGTGAAGGTTGGTTATGGAATTTTAAAGTTCGACATAGTATATGTAGTCAAAGAATAACGAAATTACTGACAAAGAAGGTTATTGAAAACCAAGAAGAAATCAATGAATCGGCAAAATATTTCGTTTTAGAAACAGGTAAAATCACAGAAGGATATAGCCCAAATCAAGTACTGAATACAGATCAAATAGGTATTGAGTTGGAGCCTCATAATAATAGAACATTAACCCATGGTGGAGAAAAATCTACTTGGGGTTCTGTCAGTGATTGGATACTTAGTACAGTACTTAAGTAGAGGGTGATAATACTGTCATCTCGAGTCGGAGATATCATGAATTTTATACCAAATGAAAGCTCGTGAAAAATGGGGTTTAGTGATACTAAATAGTAAGACTTTGAAGAACTTTCGTATGTCAAACTTTTAAAAACACGTTAAAAATCATTTTTCTATGAAAACGAAAGAAAAATGGTAACGATCATGATAAATGACTATGACTCACACAACAAGATAGTTTTTTGGCGTTCTGTTGTTGTCTCCACGTGATACTAGTTATTTGAGATAATTTTTCGTTCTCCGCCTTTTTGAAAGTTATAGTCGACAGAAATTTCAGTGTTTTCTCATTTGTTATTTCAAATGGCTGGTGCTTATGATACCGAACAACAAAGAATGATTGACAGAATTAAATGCATTACTTTCCGAGAAGCTCGCGATACTGCATGGTGCAACATTTATAAATAGACAATGGATTGCCGACAAAATTTACCATACGGCTTGATTTGTCACAGAATGGTGGGAAAAATCGTGTGACCAATGTTTTGCTGATTATTCAAATGCTGGTCCTAAACTCAAGTTAACGACAGCTGCTCAGGACATTATTCGTGAAGCAAGTGGTCGCCAACGGAAGAGCGGTTCTGTCGTGGCGAAAGAGATTGCACAGAAGTAATAAGACTATGTTACTCGACAAACAGTTAATGATTACCGTCGTAGGGAAGGATTAAAGCCTTTTCATGTTATTTCTAGACCGTTAAAATCTGAAACTCATATATCAGATCGATTGAAAGATTGGACTGGAGAAGATTTTCTTCATCTGGCGCCGTCGGATGAATTTTATGTTTGGACAGTTCGCAAACCAAATTATCAAAACGATAGAATTTGGGTAAAAGGTGTTGAGGATATTGGAGACGATGAAAGGTATGGCGAAATGGTTAAAAACCAAGCGTGTATCGGCATTTTTATCATTTTCACCGCGAAAAAAATGTATTGGGCGATCAAAGATAAAGGTGAATCTTGGACCGGTCAATATTTTCGTGACATTATTTTAATGCGACACGTATTTCCGTTCCTCACCGACGAAGAAAACATAATTGGTCTGAATAATGTGATATTTGTTCACGATAAAGCACCATGTATGCGAGCAAACATGACTCAACATCGAGTTTTGGGCCAACGATATCTGGCCTGGTAATTCGTCTGGTCTCAATGCGGCAGAACATATTGGATCAACAATCAAAGATGAAGTTGAACAAAAAATGTTATCGGAAATTGGACATAGTTGATACAGCAAAGACACACTCGAAAGACACATTGTTGATGTTTTGACGGATATGGAAGAAATACCGAATTGTTTGAATGTCTTTTATTTTCGTATCCATCTCGAATTCGTGCAGTAAAGAGCGCTAAAGGTCACCATACTGAGTATTGATTGTGCTCAATAAATAATGAGAAAATAAACTATTTTACAGCATAGTGTACGGCAAACTTTTTTCGATAAACTGATTTGATTATATTTTATGTCGGCAAAAATCGTAACCTTTGATAAATCAATACACGAAATTTCTTCAAAGTCTTACTATTTAGTATCACTAAACCCCATTTTCACGAGCTTTTATTTGGTATAAAATTCATAATATCTCCGACTTGAGATCATAATGTTACCACCCTGTACATAATTCAGAATTTCTTTCAAGTCAAACAATAGATTTTTCATATTCGAGTAAGATCTGTTGGTTTTTTTGCGAATCTTGCCGTTTAATAATTGTATTCTTTGTTACGTGAATTATTTTCTTTAATAATTGATGATAACAGTATGATTTTTTAGAGTTGTGTAAAAAACCAAAAGAAAAGGAATTGAGTTTGTGACAAGGGGAAAAAGTCGCTACTCCAATTTTTGGGATGGGTTTGATCCCTTTCTAAGTAATTCTACTCAATTTTAGCTCTGCTTTTATCCAAAACTAGTTCACGCTGTAGCAATTAGTAGAGTGGAGCAGATTGAACTTTTCAAGATTAAATTAAATTGGATTGTGCATGAACTAATTTTGGGTGAAAGCAGAGCTAAAGTTGAGTAGAATTATTCAGAAAGATACCAAAGGTATCCCAAAATTTTGGATGAAGTAGCCTAAGTACTGTGATATATTCCCGGAGCAGCTGAAGTAGCGATTTTTTCCTTGCGTCTATCTCATGTTAGAAACATTGCTTAGTATTGAGATTTCCAGAGTATTGTAACCATGGAAATAGCTATCCGATGGCGTAATTTCATCTCGAAATAACATTATTCAATTTGTTGATACATATGAAGCTCAAGGCTGAAATTTCAATAAAATAGTTATATCTCCAAAATGCAGACTTAAGGAGATGAATTCTCTGGAGGTTTTTCATATCTCATCTAAAGGTCATAAACGCTCAAATATGTTTGCTTGTCATCTTTTTCCTTTTTGATTTTGTCAATAATTCTTTGAATAACGAATATGAATTTTTTTATTTCATTATTTTTAACTTAAATTATTTACAAATATTATCTCAATCCCAATATCTACTCAGTCAACTATATTTATGAATTATAAAGATATTTAAAATAAGAAGAAAAATCATGTTCCGGTTGAATAAATAAATTAAATGTTTCTTTAGATAAATACGGAGGAGTATTACTATCGATAATAAATATATTACGAAGGACGGGATAAAATATAATATTCGTTGACTGATAAAGAACATTGATTTTTATGATTCTTATGTGTAATAACAACATAAAACGATTTATTTTCAAATATTCAAATAAGTATTTTCAGAAAATGAATTCAATTTTTCTTCCTTCGAAATTTTTCGTTTTGTCGTAGGAAATATTTGAAAAACAATTTTCGATTTCTATTTTATTTATGGATGATTGGATTAATTTTAATGATTTTTATATCATTTATTTATCTTATGACGACAAATAAGGAAGAGAAAATTGAAAATGATTTTTTTGATAGTTCAAGTAAGAAAAATTTATTTTCTTTTAAATTTTCTTATGGTTCTATTTTTTAGTTTCTAGTTCATTTTATTTTTATTATAATTCATCATTATCAATAAATGAATCATTAATTATAACAAATTTAAATGAAATTACAAAACAATTCTCGACATATTACAGTTTATCAATAAATACTGTTCGAATTTTCTCAATAAAATTTATTCAGTCAATTGTATTAAATAAAAGAAAAAGACAAATGTATGTATTCATATTTGAAGTAAAAGAATTTCTTCCTTTTTCTTTATTTTATTGAATTTTAGTGAAGGAATAAATTTATTTTTAATTCAATGTGAAATAAAATATCCGAAAAGATGTAATCGAGTTAAATTATGTCATGATCGGTTTATTTCACATATATTTCAAATTATTAATTTATCACCAAAACAATTATCATTTTTATTTTCATTTAATTATCAATTTACAATTAATATCCCAATGATATTTTTATCAATTAATCAAACAAGTTTTTTGTCACGTAAGTTAAATTGCAAATGTATTCAAAAATCATACTTCTCAATTCATTATTCCAGCTATAACAACTAAAACTACTTCTATTCACACAACTAATACAGTTTCAACAACAGCGACCACGATCACGATCACGACAGCAAGAACAGTGACCACGGCCACGACAGCGACAACAGTGACCACGGCCACGACAGCGACAACAGTGACCACGATCACGACAGCAACAATAGTGACCACGGCCACAACAGCAACAGCAACGACCACGACAACAGCACGTAAGATTTCAATTCAATTCTAATCTTTTAATATAAATAAGTGCTATCCTCAACCGATTGCTATCTGTCAATTTTGTAGAAAAGCATTTGTCCTGATATTTGCATATGTATATAAGTTCTCATTTGAATCAAATATGTTTAAAGATATTATTTATTTATACTAATTGCTTGACATAGAATTCCAATTTTAACTTTTATTATATACTCCACTTGTTAAGATCAATTAAAACCAAAAACTTACCAGATCTTTTGTATTCATTGTTTCTAGTACCAACGGATTTATACTTCAGTTTTCTCTCCTTCACAACTGGCACCTCTCCTCGATCATTGGCCGTTATGGATATAAATGATGATAATCAATCTGATATAATTACGGCAAACTATGGTTCAAATACAGTTAGTGTTCTTCGCAATACCGGTAATAACACGTTTACCTCTCAAGTTATATTTCCGGTGGGCACTAATCCACAATCAGTGGCCGTCCTCGACATAAATTTAGACAACAGACCTGATATTATTACGGCAAATTATGGCGCAAATACAGTTAGCATCCTTTCCAATACCGGCAATGCAACATTTTCCCCGCAAGTTATCTTTGCAGTTGGCACTAATCCGTACTCAGTGGCTGTCATAGATGTAAATTTTGACAATAAACCTGATATTATCACGGCAAACTTTGGTGATAGCACAGTTAGTCTTCTTCTCAATACGGGTAATGCTACATTTGCCTCCCAAATCATTTTTGCCACTGATATGGCTCCCCGATCACTAGCCGTAAGAGACATTAATATTGATGGCAAAGTTGATATAATTACGGCCAATTATGGTGCAAATACAGTTAGTATCTTATTGAATCAAGGAAATAACACATTTGCTTCTCAAGTTGCTTTCGCAACTGGAGCTGCTCCCGTCTCAGTAGCAGTTGTAGACATAAATTCCGACAATCAACCTGATATCATTACAGCAAATAGTGGCGCAAACACAGTTAGTATCCTCTTGAATCAAGGTGGTAATACATTTGCTTCCCAAGTTATCTACATAACTGGCGCTAATCCACAGTCCGTTATTGTCGCAGATCTGGATGACGATAGTGCACCTGATATAATTACGTCAAACTTTGGCGATAGTACAGTTAGTATTTTTCTCAATAAAGGAAATACTACATTTGTTTCTCAAGTTAATTTCGCAACTGGAATTAGTCCACAATCAGTGGCCATCATAGACATGAACTCAGATAACAGACTAGACATAATTACTGCTAACAGTGGTGGAAACAGTATTAGTCTTCTTCGTAACACAGGTAGCGCAATATTTTCTTCTCAAATTATTTACGCAACCGGAGCCGGTCCAGTTGCAGTCGCAGTTGCAGACTTAGATTCAGACGATAAACCTGATATAGTTACAGCAAATAGTGGTGGAAGTACCGTTAGCGTTTTTCGAAATAATGGTCAAGGCACATTTTCTTTGCAAGGTACATTTACAACTGGAAATAGTCCGAGATCAGTCGTCATCATAGATATTGATGATAACAATCAATCTGACATAATTACGGCCAACTATTATGGAAATAGCGTCAGTATCCTACACAATATAGGCAATGCTACATTTTCTTCACAAGTTCCTTACACAACTGGAACTGGCCCAGTGTCAGTGGTAGTTATCGACGTAAATTCAGATAATAAACTAGATATCGTCACGGCAAACTATGGTGCAAACTCAGTCAGTATCCTATACAATACAGGGAATGCTACATTTTCTATACCGGTTGGTTTCGGAGTTGGTACTTATCCATACTCAGTGGTCGTCGTAGATATAAATTCCGATAATCGACTTGATATTATTACAGCCAACTATGGTTCAGCTACAGTTAGTCTTCTTATCAATATAGATAATAACACATTTGCTTCTCAAGTGACTTTCGCGACTGGCTTTAATCCATACATAGCAGTAGTCGTAGACATGAATTACGACGACCACCCTGATATAGTTGTAGCGAATTATGGTGCAGGAACAGTTGGTATCCTACTGAATCAAGGCAATAGCACATTTGCCTCTCAAATTGCATTCGCAGTTGGCTCCAATCCACAATCATTGGCTATTGTTGATGTAAATTTCGACAACAAGCTCGATATAATTACGGCAAATAGTGTTCCAAATACAGTTAATCTACTTCTCAATTCAGGAAATCTTACATTTTCTTCTCGCAGTACTTTTGCAACTGGTCGCAATCCTTCCTCGGTGGCTGTTATAGATGTAAATTTCGACAACAAACCTGATATTGTTACGACAAATTTTGTTGGCAATAGTTTTGGAATTTTTTTTCACTATTAAAAACTTGTTTATTTTCTCTTGTTTAAAGATTTTCTTTTCAAGTATAAAAAATGATGTTTCGAAAAAGGTAACAACAACAATACCTGCTAAATAGCTAAAAAAAACAACTGAGAATACCTAATATTAATGAAGAACCTGAAGATGAATATGGCAGCATTGATGTAAATTTGTCACATTTGCTATTACTGTTGTACCTGGTTGAATATCTGAAATATTAAGAAAGAATATATCAATTAGAAATACAAGAAACCAATTGTATCATTGCTTACCATCGTTTTCAGATCGAGAGTCCGTATGAATCTCATAAATATGTAATCTCGTGTTATTGACATCTGCACCGCCTGAAATATCTATTTTAGAAATCTTCAGTGATTCTTTCGTTTTGATACCATGCTTAAATGATGATTTGTAATCATCATCTTCACCTAAAAACAGACTTCTGTTAGATTCTATCCAATTTATTCAAACTACCAAAATTTCTCGTACAGCTAACTGATAAATTATTTAATTGTCAAGTTAAAATACTGACAAACCTGATGTATCTGTATAGTTGTTTCTGACGAAGATTAAACGGTGATGGACTTTGCTGGATTTAAGAGCGTTTATTGGACTGGTTGTTTTTCGCAATCGTTCGATCTTCTCTTTTCCGAGCATCTTTCAATGAAAATAGTATGACCTAAAAGGTCCGTTTATACAAATTTCTTATTAAATATATATAAAGGTTTCCAATGGGAAATCCAGTTCTTGAATCAAGTCTCGTTTTCTAAACCAATTACCTAATTCATAGCATGGCTATTGCCATGAATTGTCGGGACCTTTCTGCCGGTACGCGAATACTTAGAATCTCGGTCAGATGATGATGGAGAAATAGAATCTGTTGACTCATCTCGAAGAGATTGATCCGATCGAGAACTTTCGTTATCTCTTCGATTGATGAGAGTTGGCGAACACAGACTGATATCAACATTATTCTCGTCATTATCGATGGTGTCATGGTCTTAAATAAACAGCTATACATTTATCAAATACATAGAAAAATGCTTGCGTCGACTAATGTTTAAATCTTCCTGAGACTCTCGAATTCTGTTTCTGAGTTCACTTTCACACTCTACAAGTGTACTTAAAAAAATAAGCATTAATGTTACACAATAAAATACTTGCACACTCGTTCCTTGTACAGAACAGATTTAATAATTGTAGCCGGGGTTTTTTTCCCGAATAATGACAAATGCTGTATTATACATATGTAATTCTCTTAATACTAATACCGAGAGCAATATTAAAAGAGTCCGTAGCATCTAAATACAGCAAACGATGAGTAGATTGAATGAAATTGTCACTTACTGAAAAAGTAGTACGTGGCTGTCAATCACGTTTTTCTCGTCCTGTAGTCATAGATAAAACGATTCTATAATCTGTAAAGTTGCAAAAATGTTTTATATGAATTTTAGTCTATCATCATATTGAGAAAAGAACAACTGATTTGATCTCAGTTCTGGAAAAACACTGGAATTTTTGAAGGATGAAAAATTATCATCCAAAAAATCCCGTTATTAAATCAGATATCGACTCGGCCAGCTAACGGTCACTTTCGATGGAGAAGGCTCGAAGTCATCACTGAAACAACGTGCGTACTGAAGCTAGTAACTGGCTACAGGTTACTCACGAGTCAGAGATCGATGACCATTAAGTTAATCGGCGTTTCGTATACTAGCGACATCAATGTGTGTCTATGTATTGGTTGATCGATGGCCAGTTTGCCGCCTCGTGTTCGACCATGTATAGAACCGTTAGCTTTATCGATACCAGCAGAATATCCAGATGTACTAAACTATCTACATTTCATTGGACATTCCGTAACGAAAATAACTGATCTTTCATCCACTCCGTCACGAACGTGCAAGATGGTTTAACCTGTCATATATCTGTGAAGGCCTTGTCGCGAACTTCTGCTAGAGTGACGAGTTGACAGTCTATCTCTTCGCGATCGTGTTAATTTTATTCCAGGCAAATGCGTTACGGAATTTCTACTCGATTGCTGATCTTTTATCATCATTCTCAGTTAAATAATATTCTGAGACAAATAACCAGCGCGTCGGCCGTTCGCATTCATTTCCTAGCGGATTGCGAGTGTGATCGATCGTTTTTTATGAAGTTTTTCAATAGTTCGCTGTAGTGCATTGATATTCGAACACTTACGGCAACACTTCTGTTGTAAACGATAAAAATTTCTTTTGTTCCTCTTTATATTATTCATATTTATGCGACAAATGGTTATCTCGGATGTTGGCCGAGCTCGACGTTGTCGAGAAAAGAAGTAGTCAGCCAGTCTCAGTGAGATTATCAAGAAGAAAGATTGTTTACAAAAACGAACAGCTCGCGCGCAACTATCGCCAACTGAACTGAGAGCGTTGCGTATACAACAAAAGATCAAGCTGCAACGGTTTCGGGTAAAAGAGAAGAGCCAAACGTTGCCGGCAAGATCATCGTCATCATTTGCAAATAAACAGTCGGAAGAGAAAGCAATGAACAGAATTCGAAAGGTGCTCCCTGTTACAGAAAACAAGCAGATTGAAATCGTGCGTTAAATGGTAGAAAATATTGGCATCATTGATACTCCGAAGATTTATCAACGCAACTCGGCTTCCATTCCCCTAGCTTTGAAAGAGAAAGCGAAGAATTTCTATTGTCGTGATGACATTAGTTGCCAAGCGCCAGGGAATCATGATTCAATCACAGTAAAAGACGACGGAACAATGCTAAAAGTCCAAAAACGCTCTCTTCTGTATACACTGAACGAAGTCTATCGACTATCCCTCAACGAGAATACCGACGATCGGATCAGTTGCTCCTCCTTCAAAGAATTGCGACCACCTAATGTTCTCTATAAGTCATTGACATCACACAGTATGTGCATTTGCTTATACCATGAGAACGTTTTGTTACTCATACAAGCGTTAAATGCTCACATCGATGGTTTTGGCACCATTGGATTTAACACATTTGTGAAGTTACTCGTCTGCAACGACATGAATGAATCATGTATGTTTACCGAGTGTGATCCGTGTCGTGATCAATTTCGAACTCGGGCCATCGATCATACTGGTACTGTGAGAGATTGTGTGAAGTATCTGCACGATCGCATTGAGCAGTACCTATTTCATGTCTTCATCAAATGGCGACAATCTGAATATTTCCAGAGCGCGCACTAGTCGCGAAAATAGCTGTCGATGTTCACTGCCCACGTGTGAGCACGATCTGTCACCTATCCAATAGTCCTCATATCAAGTGATTCTTCGCACGACAAATGGACAGCGTCGAAATGCATGAAGCTGATCCTTGCACGAATACAAACAGCGATTTCTTATGAAGAACATCACTCATCAGGCGCAATGCTTCCATTTAAAGCTTTCATGGAATTTTTTTGCAACCAGTCACGACAAAGGTAAGAAACTATGCACAACGCATCCAGAGAAGATGTTCTCGAAAAGACACTGCATGTCTGGTGGAGAGGGAGCGATAAGATGTGACTTTTGCGTGAATACTTAGTTCCCGCTGATACCATATAACACACAAGAGAATGGTTTATCAAGACGTGTTGGCGAGGATAAGGTGTAACAGTGCAAATAACTTCGTTCATCTCATCAAGGAGAAGCAAACAGCCGTGATCATCGACGAGCTGACGATTGAGGATAGCGCAAAGCAGATCACAGTCAACTTCTGATAGTTAGTCTATTCTTTACACGCGTGTGCTGTTGTTTACTTGATGGAATAAGCTGTTCTGATCTTTGTACTTGAACATGAATAAAATTAAAGTAGCCCATATATAGTAACTCACTCCCAAAATGCCGCAACACAGAGTTTTTTATCTCACTAACGTAGAAACTGTCTGCTGAAACTACTCCTAATCCAGGTATGAAAAAGGATGAAATTCCGTAATGATTTGTGTCGTGCAAGTACAAAGAGAAATACTATACATTTGAGAAAGACCGGTGTTATTTTTGGATAAATGAAGGAATGCTGTAAAACTTTATCAGCGGAAGTTTCCATCTGAAAAGCGGGTGCAATGAACGCGATCGATGGTAAATATTCCGCTTGTGTTATTGTCGTTGCATCTTCAAATAATGTTAATAAAGGTAAGAATTTGTTTAACATTTGATAATCTTTTGTGAGTAAACAAAGATCTTTGCGTTTAATCGAAACCAGCATTCATTTAATTCTGAAGGTGGTATGCATAAAGCTTTTTCAACAGTGTGAAACTGACCGCTCCAACGTGTTTTATTCGTTCTAGGTATCGACATACTGATAGAATCCAGATTTTCTGCAAAAAGTGTGCTTGTGTGTGATAGTTTGGCAGTTTTCGACGCATTAGATAATACAAATTGAATTGACGAAACTTGGTTTAACCTATCGTTAACTACCAGTTGAAGAGTGGGCAAAGCAGGGAATACGTAACGATACATTATGCAAGGTAACGTTGTCAAAACTATGTTTGATAGGTCCAAACATATTCGAATAATTTCCACCGGTGGTTGGTGCACAAGGTTCGTCATCGTATTCGGTATCAAATTTTCGAATGCCTTGATATTGCTAGAAGCATTGTCTGTAACCAAACGAACCAGTTTTGTTTGCAAGTCAAATGTACTGACAATATTTTCATACGTTTGCAGCAAAAGATTCGTGGTATAACTTCCGTGTAAAGGTAAAAGCATAAGACGCAAGATTTTGATATGTTAGAGACGAAAGCATGACCTAAAAGAAATTTAGATGCTAATCACCCAATCTAGCCTATCTCAAAATATTTCAACAGCAGACCGTGGTTGAAATCATACCCGTCGTTGCAAAAAACGATCCTAAACGATGATCGGAACAAATATCGAGGGTCAATGAAATAAATTGTGATTGGGAGTAGAACTTTTCGAATTGATCATTCATTGTATAGTATAAACGTGGGATCATGCTACGACTCAATGTTCTTCTGCTTATCACGGTGAACTTCGGACCTACCGTATTCATAAACTTTAAGAACGAATCTCGTCCAACAAGCGACAATGGTAGACCACGATTAATTATGAGATTTTCAACAATTGATTTTGACAACTCAATTTGTCGAGAATGTTTGTCCTCGTAGAAAGATTTGGAAAGTGGTGTTCTCTTCTTTGTTTCGCTTTTTTAAATAAACATATCAGATATCTTTATTTACTGCTGTTTGAGTTTTCATTTAGTTGAACTAGCCATTCTTGATATTGTGTTTCGTGTTGCTTTCTAGCATGTCGATTCATATTCGATGTAACGCCTTTACTATCGTGTTGAATTTTCTTACAAATAATCCACTCGGGTGATCAGGTTGTTTCATGGTTGTGACGAATCACACGATACCTCTCTCTCAAACACGTCACCACCAATTGTATAGCACTTCCGCATTCTCTTTGTTCACCTCAGCGGTCAAACCATGGGGTATATATATACATGGAAGAAATGTGAAAGGGGAATCATTTTTGGAAATAAACAAAAGCGAAATAGCGAAACTGGAAAATCGTTACAATTGGCGACCCTGACATACGAGTCTTCAGAATCTACCAGTCGAAGTCACTCCTAACAACAGCAAAACCAACACACGACCAGATATGATGATGTGGTACGGAAGAACATACGAACCTTAAAACTGATACAATGCGTAGCCTCCTCAACGAATTAAGGAACAGCAGAGCTTAGATGGCAAACGTTGGCAAAAAATTTAAGAAAATTACAGAATTGAAACAAATAAATTAATATAATTATGATGAGAATACAAAATTGATTAAATAATAAGAAAATTACTAATTAATGAATTATAACATCGAATGCGAGAACGACCATTCAAGCAACTGGTGAACTTATTCGTGAGAAGAATGACTTAGAAGTGTTTTCCTTTTATTGTACGGATATGCATGGTGTTAGTAGAAGGTCGATCTGTTTTGGTACTTATCGCAAAATTTATGTTTCATCGTGTAGCAAGAACTTTGTACAAGGTCAATATATAATGCTCAAGTGAACAAAAATGTATGAATTATAAATAAGTAATCACAAAGAAATTACAGATAACAAAAAAACAAATGAAGAATATGAACAAAGTTTGATCCAGATAATAAAATTTATGAAGTTTTTATTTAAATGAAAATCATTTAAGAAAAATGAAATATGCGTTTAACGATTTTTTGTGTAAAATGTGTTGAAACTTTTATGGAATAAGTTACTGACTTTTTTGTATAACTAGTATCTAAGTATTTATTTTTCTTTTATTATACCTGTGTGATGATCGATGAAAGGAGGGGGGCGCTTAAGAGCTGAAATCGGCCCCCCCTCAAAACTATTCCTAATTCACTCAAACCCGTACAACTCAACCTGCTGAATTCAAAAATTAAAGAATTAAGCACTCCTCAAAGACCAATATCCATAGATATCGCTTTTTTCTTTAGCTGGTAAATACATGGTTTTCACCCTGCTTCGACCCTATCGTTAAGAGAAAATGATGCAGGTCCACTCTGGAAACCACATAGATCGATGTAACTCTTCGCGATCTACAACTTTCTCAGCACCATCGATAGCGTCCGGAGTGGCCCTCGAGTACCCGTTAGGAGAGCTACTGTTCAAGAACCATGATTGTGGTCGTTTGCTGGCTCCATCGTTAGCAGAAAATGATGCAGGTCCACTCTGGAAACTACATAGATCGATGTAACTCTTCGAGATCTACAACTTTCTCAGCACTATCGAGGGTCTCCGGAGTGGCCCTCGGGTACCTGTTAGGAGAGCTACTGTTCAAGAACCATGATTGTGGTCCTTTGCTGGCTCCATCGTTAGCAGAAAATGATGCAGGTCCACTCTGGAAACTACATAGATCGATGTAACTCTTCGAGATCTACAACTTTCTCAGCACCATCGATAGCGTCCGGAATGGCCCTCGGGTACCTGTCAGGAGAGCTACTGGTCAAAGACCTAGTTGTGATCGCTTTTTTTACTGAATTTCACCAAAAAGGGGTTACCTTTATTAAAATACATTTCACATTTGGAATCCGCGCAAAAAATTAAGTGAACCAGTGTATATTTAATGTCGTTGCTTCAACTTTTCTTCTCGGTTAGTATTCTACCGCGGGGTACCCCTCAGTAGACCAGAAAAACGATGGTTCTTGAAATCTGATGAAAACTACATGAAATCCAGCTTAGAGTCATCACATAAGCTTATCAGGAAAAATATTTGATATAGAAATGATAATCGAGGTCTTTCTGTGATATACACTATTTTGCAGATAATTGAGGCTTACCCCGCGGTAGAATACTAACCGAGAAGAAAAGTTGAAACAACGACATTAAATATACACTGGTTCACTTAATTTTTTGCGNCGGCGAATATCCGGTGCTATCCAGCTGTTTTCCGAGACGGAACCTGCAGAATTGTATCGATTTCCGATGTTTTCCGTCTCGGTTCCGTGCCGGTTCCGGCGGCTGGAACGCTCGACCTGGGAAGTGTACTTAAAAAAATAAGCATCAATGTTACACAATAAAACACTTGCACACTCGTTCCTTGTACAGAACAGATTTAATAATTGTAGCTGAGGTTTTTTCCCCGAATAATCACAAATGCTGTATATATGTAATTCTCTTAATACTAATACCGAGAGCAGTATTAAAAGAGTCCGTAGCATCTAAATACAGCAAATGATGAGTAGATTGAATGAAATTGTCACTTAGTGAAAAAGTAGTACGTGGATGTCAATCTCGTTTCTCTCGTCCTGTAGTCATAGATAAAACGATTCTATAATCTGTAAAGTTGCAAAAATGTTTTATATGAATTTTAGTCTATCATCATATTAAGAAAAGAGCAACTGATTTGATCTCAGTTCTGGAAAACCACTGCAATTTTTTGAAGGATGAAAAATCATCATCCAAAAACTCCCGTTATTAAATCAGATATCGACTCGGCCAGCTAACGGTCACTTTCGATGGAGAAGGCTCGAAGTCATCACTGAAACAACGTGCGTACTGAAGCTAATAGCTGGCTACAGGTTACTCACGAGTCAGAGATCGATGACCATTAAGTTAATCAGCGTTTCGTATACTAGCGACATCAATGTGTGTCTATGTATTGGTTGATCGATGGTCAGTTTGCCGCCTCGTGTTCGACGATGTGTAGAACCGTTAGTTTTATCGACTTAACCCGAAGTTTTCTCTCAAAGTACGGGCTGACGAGTGAACTATCTCACTGTGAAACTAATGCGAAGTTTGATCGATATCAGCAGAATATCCAGATGCACTAAACTATCTACATTTCATTGGAAATTCCGTAACGAAAATAACTGATCTTTCATCCACTCCGTCACGAACGTGCAAGATGGCTTAACCTGTCATATATCTGTGAAGGCCTTGTCGCGAACTTCTGCTAGAGTGATGAGTTGACAGTCTATCTCTTCGCGATCGTGTTAATTTTATTCCA